GAACAGAGAAGCAACACAGACCTTCAAATGTTCTTATGGAACTGTGTCCAGGTGACAGCAAAGTCTCATGACAGCTTCATCGATAATTATAGTGCAAAGTTTCCATAAATTTGTAAGTCTGGATTGTGTCATATTGTGTGAGGATACCAATTAGCTGACGGTGGCCACTCACCGTCTGCTTATTGTTAGCACACAGCTGTTGGATGCATGGCTCCCCCTTTTCTTAGTGGGGTTAATGACTGTGTAATCTGCCTAGATTCCCACAGGAGAACTGCAATCCCCAGCAGTTCCCTGAGCTTTCAATTGTTACATGAGCTGTTTGCCCCAGAGACTTCATACCCTGGCTGGGAAGCATTTCAGGAGCTGCCTGAGGAACACCCCAGGTGAACACACACCACAGACACAGCTGATGAGTGGCCAGTATTCCAAGACAGCCAGATATTAAAGTGAAGTGTTGAAACACATCTTTTTCTGCCCTAATAACTATCAAAAAACTCTTATCTCAGTTTATAAAATTGCTAATATAAACTTGGATAATTGTTTAAAAGCTTTCCTTAACTCTAGATATTTGATTAAAAAGATTTAGCAGATATCCTCTTGTCTAGTGTGCAAAATATTCTAAGATACAAATATTTTTTCCTGAAATTCAATTTGTAATCTAAATTTCAGGATAAAAGATAGCAAATTGAAGTAACTCAACCATAGAAGTCAAATTAAGTTAAATTTTAAAAGTTAGTTTAAAAAAATATCATGGTAAATAAAGAATCACTCTACATGCATAATGAGATGCAGGATTAAGACAGGCATTTTGTTAATTCAAGCTAAAAATCTCCTTTCCTGTAACTTAAATGAATATTTTAGAGAAAAGTACTGAAGTCAAACTTTACCTGGAAAATTGCCTTGGTTATTACCAGGGGCTTCTATCGAATAAACACTGGCAATATGACTTTCTCAAAGAAGTTTATAATTTACATTTTAGTATTTGTCACAGACTATTAGATTTATAGACTTCCATTGCCAACCTTCTCTTAATTAAGACAGTCCTGGATAAAGGGATTAACAACTGCTTTTAAGTAAGAATGTGTCTTCTTTATAGTTTCGGGTCACAGATGTGACTCTTAAGCCACCACAATGGTTAAGCAACATCAATTTAACCTCATGTGGATTGTTTTAAAGATGGTTTTGTGCTCCATACCAAGAAGGTTTCAAACTCCATCCTCCTTTGCCTTCTGAGAAATGAGAATAGGGCACAGGGGTTTTGGAAGAAACAAACAGTTACACAGTCCCTTCATGCAAGCTTCTGTGTTTTACAATTCTTTGCAAGCTTAGACTGGTGAACAGATTCAGGTTAGTGCATCCTGCCTCTTCTTTTACAATGGATTCTATGGCAAGTCATTAATCTCTGTGCATACTTCCCCCAAATGCTAGCCTGCTTTAGTGCTGGACTCCATGGTCCTAAAGATTTGCTGTAAAGGAGTCATGATTGTTTTGCAAGGCCATTTCAGATGCTCACTTAGCCTTGATGGATCCCAATCCATACCAACATGCCTCAGGTTAACTATGCTTTTTAAAATCTATAGAGCTCAGCCAGATAGAGAGCAGAGGAATGAACCACATGAAGGGGGATAACTTGGAAAAGGAATTGGTCCAAATTTGAAAATACCTAGAAGTATTTATTTCAATGAGGATTGAAAACACCTTTTTTCCTTTTTTGTTTAAATTAGAAACAAGCTTGTTTTACTTGTCAATACCAGTTCCCTCTCTCTCCCCTGCCCCCCACAGGCCCCCTATTCCATCCCCTTTCTGCTCCGCAGGGAGGGGAGGCCTTCCATGAGGGACCTTCAAAGTCTGTCATCATTTGGAGCAGGGCCTAGACCTACCCCCATGTGTCTAGGCTGAGAGAGTATTCCTCTATTTGGAGTAGGCTCATAAAGTTCATTTGTGTACTAGGGGTAAATACTGATCCACTACCAGTGACCCCATAGATTAACTAGATCTCCACATTTGCGTGGTGGGGTGGGGGGGGGATGGGTGTCTGGAACAGTCCTATTCTGGTTTCCCAGCTATCAGTCTGGGGTCCACGAGCTTCAGCTTGTTCAGGTCAGTTGTTTCTGTAGGTTTCTCCAGTCTGATCTTGACCCCTTTGCTCATCACTCCTCTCTCTCTGAAACTGGATTCCAGATTCAGCTCAGTGTTTAGCTGTGGGTGTCTGCTTCTGCTTCTATCAGCTACTGGATGAAGGCTCTAGGATGGCATATATGGTAGTCACCAATTTCATTAAAGAGAAGGGCATTTAAGGTAGCCTCTCTACTATTGCTTAGATTGTTAGTAGGAGTCAACCTTGTAGATCTCTGAATATTTCTCTAGTGCCAGATTTCTCTTTAAATCTAAAATGGCCCCCTCAGTTATGGTATCTCTTTTCTTGCTCTCCTGTATTCTTCCCCTGACTTGATCTTCCTGTTTCTCAAACACTTTTTGACAGTCTTTTTTTTATTTTTTTCAACTTTTTTTATTTGAATTAGAAACAGGATTGATTTACATGACAATCCCAGTTCCTTTCTCCCACCCATCCTCCCCTACCACCACCACCCCCAACTAAAACCCTATCTATCACATATCCTTTTTCTGCTCCCCCTGGATGATGAGGCCTTCCATAGGTATGTCATCAGTGTCTATTGTATCCTTTGGGATAGGGCCTACACCCACCCCTGTGTGTATTGGCTCAGGGAGTATGCCTCTATATGGAATGGGCTCCTAAAGTCCACACCTATGCTAGGGATAAGTACTGAACTTCTACAGGAGGTCCCATAGATTTCTGAGGTTTCCTCACTGAAACCCATGTTCCTGGGGTCTGGATCAGCCCCATGCTGGCCAGCGATCAGTCTGGGGAGCAAGAGTTCCCCGATGTTCAGGTCAGCTGCTTCTCTGTGTTTCACCTTCCTGGGCTGGACCCCTGTGTTCTACACTCATCCTTCTCTGAATCTGGGTCTCACTTCAGTTCGGTGGTTAGTTGTGGGTGTCTGCTTCTACTTCCACCAGCTGCTGGATGAAGGCTATAGGATGGCATATAAGTTAATCTCCAAGTTCATTGGCAGGGTAGGGCATTTAAGGTAGCCTCTCCTCTGTTGCTTAGATTCTTAGCTGGTGTCATCTTTGTAGAACTCCAGACATTTCCCTAGTGCCTGATTTCTCTGTAAACCAAAAATGTCTCTGTCTACTATGGTATCTCCATTCTTGTTATCATCCATTCATCCCCTGACTCAACCTTTCTGCTCCCTCATGTCCTCTGCATCCCTCCTCTTCTCCCCTTCTCATTCTCCTAGCTCCCTTCCCCCTTTCCCATGCTCCCACTTTGCTCATCTTGACCCTCTCCCCTTCTCCAGGGGACCATGTATGTTTCTCTTAGGGTCCTCCTTGTTTATTAACTTCTTTGGCAGTGTGGATTGTAGGCTGGTACTCCTTTACTCATACTCTGGTTTCTCTTCAGATCGTATAAATCTTTCGCCTTTTTGACAGTCTTTCCATGGGTAATTTTTATATTATTGTCCATGACAGTAGCTATCTCTGCTATACTTTATATCTGTCCTGAGTCTAAACAAACTGTAACATATTATAGGAAATGGCATTTTTCATATAAAATACAAAGATGGCCAGCGATGGGTTGCAGTGAACAACTGTGAACATCTTCTATAGACTGTTTACAAAATATGCTTTGTTTTGTTTGCAATTTAAGGAGCACAAATTCTGATTTACTTTCCCCAAATCATTTTATCCTCACAAGAGGACACTAGTGTCCTTAGCAGAAATGAAAAGATCTAGGTCTGAATCAAACCACTGTAGTTCAGAGAGTAGAGGAGACACAAAAGCAGACTGAGTGCTGTGGGTGGGTCTGTGCTTCATCTAGGAGGATGCAGCTTTCTCACTCCTGGTGTTGGCTAGGGAGATGCACACTTATGACTTTCCTGGTTCCTTGCTCCACCCTCTCTGCTCCTGCATCCCCTTTCTCCCTCTGCCTTGTTCCTGCCCTTCCTCTTCCTTTTCCTCATTTCATCTCCCCTTCCCCTCTTCATCTCTCCCCTCCTTTCTTTGATCTGTCTCTTCAGTCTTTCCCTCTTTACTTCCTTCCTTCCTTACCCTCTCTCACTTCCTGCCCACCTCTTTTCCACCTTCTCTCCCCATCACCATCGTGTTTACCTTCTTTCCTTCAGTTTATCTCTCCCTACTTCTCTCCCTTCCATCCCTCTCTTTATCTTCTTTTCTGTTTCTCCATTCTTGCCCTCTCCCTCTCTCTGTCCCTTTCCCTAACCATGCTCTTTCCCTTTTCCTTCTCCCCTCTCCCTTTCTCTCCCTCTTTCCCTTCTCCACTTCAGTCTCTATTCTCTCCTTCTTTCCCTGTCTTCCCACTCCCTTCTCATCTCTTCCCTTGTCCCCCTGCCCCCTCCTTCCCTTTGCATCTCCCATAATGCTCTCCACTCAAAGCAGCTCCTTTGACCTAAACAGATTATTGTAGCTGCATGAAGGGCAGTCATGACACAGGCAGTCAGCCCAGCCTTTCAAGGAGGAGATTTGTATCCAAATAGGACACTAAGCTTCTCAGCCTTCTGCTTACTTACCTTGTCAGCAGGATGCCTGTCTCTAGGTGCTCCACAGACTCCTGGGGATCTGGGTAGAAACAAAAGCCTGTGTCAGTCGCTGAAAATGTGGGAGTCTGTGCCATTAAAAGGAGCAGTTGTTAATAAGGGCCCGTGAGACCTGGGTTTCCTTGGTTTCCATGACAGTTATTAGGTACCGTCGAAATTGAATTGTCTCCCATGATGCTCTTAGGGGAGGGGGATGCATGAGTGACAAAGCAGTGCAGTTATGACTTGCAGTAAATCGTCCTTTGGAGAATGTAATACTCCTTGGGTTATCTCTCTTACATATTTTTAAAAATCTCCTTTCCGTGTGCTTGGCCACTGCTGTACAGTGTCTCCAACACTATTTTCCTCCTTTTTATTTAGATCCAAGTTTGGCAAAGCAAGGATATGAACAGTTCTGCAGGTGGGCTTCTCAGGGCGAGTGAAGCCTTAAGGCGTCCAATCAGGGTTTGGCCACCTGCAGCCCTGCCAATATGCCCCTCCACCAGATTTCTGTGATCCCAGCCCGGGAGACTGCCAGCAATGGGAGAAGCTCAATGGGCAGAAACAAAGAGAAGAACAAGGAAGTCGAGGTAAGAGGAGGTTTGATTTGACACAGCTGTGCTCTGTCTGTACAAGGGGACATAGCATGAACTGAAGAGTAGCTGGCTCGTAGCTCTGCGTGCACTAGCGGACTGAATCACTTGGTGTGTGACTAAGGAGTTTATAAATCTTAACCTGTATTTTTCTGAATGAAGCAACGAACCGAATCTATAAAGATACTTGGAGCTTAATAGATGTAAAACTTCTGCCTCGTTTGCTGAACTCTGTGGAATCTTTTTTACTGATTCTCGAGGTCCAACCAGGGTTGCTTGCACCTACTATTGTTGTCCATTTCTGGAGTGGTTGATGCTAGTTGTGTCCAGCTGGAGGGTTTGAAAATAACTTTCTTCACAAAGCGGTGCATCTTACTGGGCTAGAAAGCTCTCGCATCTATTGCACACTGAATTGGTGTTTGGGGATTCACTGTTCACCATTCCTTATGCCTTGTATATGGGATTTTGACTTTTATGCCGGTTTGTTTGCATTTTATTTAGGAAAGAGTTGTTTAAAACTTAACATAGCCTATAATGTTAACTGTATTATATTCAGGCTTTATTCTGGAGTGGAATTAGCAGCCATTCCTATAAGGTTGAACTGCATGAAAAATCAGATGCTAGGAACTTATTTCAAAGGGTTCTGGAAAAGAGACTGAGCAGAGCTAAGGTCATTGCATCAAATTCTTATGTGTACGGTCATGATTGGAGTTAAGGTAAACTGCCAAGTGAACAGAGAATGCTATAAAACTGCCAGCACTTGGGAGGCTGAGCCTGGAAGTTCTGGAGTTCAAGGTTAGGAATGATACTATCTAAAAGATAAATGAAAGGAAAAAAGCAAAAAGCACACCAAAATCTGGAATCTTCTAGGTTGTTTTTAATAAGTGTTTAATAATTCCCAGATATCATTATCATTTCCTATCTCTAGATCTGTAGCAGAATTGTGCTATTATTATTATTATTATTATTATTATTATCATTATTATTATTTCTTCAAGGATAGATACTAAGGAAAATGGAAATAAACACGAATAAATCAAAAAAGTAAATAAATGGTAGTAAAGTGTCAGGAATTTCCTAAGAGGAATAAAATAACTTTACTATATCTTCAAATGCAAAGCGTATTTACAGCCTCCACTACCTTCATTTGACCTGGTTTTAAATGGGTCATTCAAAAGCAATGGTTTAGGTTTCATCAGGACTTACAAAACACCTCAGGAGTGCTCTGCCTCATGCATTGTAGAAGATGCTTTTAGTTTAGCAGTTGCCTAGCAAAATGCAAAACATGTGTCCCAGAAGTTCAAATATCTTTGTTAAAGCAATTAATCAGCCCAGTAGCACTTGGAAATAGTTTTGGTAGTAAGAGTCTTCTTCCTATGACTCAGTAATGTGACTGTAGGCTTCCAGCACTGTTTTATAAGATTTGGAGAATTGGAAAAAGGAGAGACAGTAGTGATCAATTCCAAATACATGAAATGTCAAAATCAAGATCAGTGGATAAATTTGAGACTAACTAAAGAAAACTTTGTGCAATGATAGTGAATGGAAATTTTCTTTGAAATTCAGAATTACCAGAAATGAAAAATGTATAGCAGAGGCAGGATGTTCATTATTGGTTTAAGGACATCTGGGCTATGTAGTGAGTTCCAAGCCAGCCTGGTTACAGAGTCTCAGAAAATGTACTCTTTCACTTACTAGTCTTCACTAGAAATCTATTGTAGATTTCTCCTTGGCTTGAGTTGGAGTAACTGGCATGGCTTGTGTAAATTTTGAAAAGCAAGATGTTTTACTTTTTCATCTAATAAACATGAATGCAGTTAGTTATTCTACTTCACATAAAACGGTCTCAATGCTATATCCATAGCCACATTTGACATCCTTCCAGCCTTGATTGGTGATCACCCGTACCTTTCCAGGGCAAATCACCTCCTTATTGTGATTAAATGTAAGGGATCCACCTAAATACTGGCCAGATTCCAAGTCAATAAGCACAACCAGGATCAAAGATATTTGCAAAGTGCAGTCAGTAAAGAAAGTGTCATTGGAAACAGCTTGGAAAAGTGGCATTCTCTAAAAAGAAAAAGCACACTTTACTGAGGAAATGGTGTATCTTCTTATAAGGAAGACCCATCAAATATAGCAGCAGGCATATCCCAAATATCTCAATTTGAGGTCATAATCATGCATTCCAAAATGTCAGACCCCAGTGCCTGTGGACAGATAATTTCTTATCATAATTAGCAAAGTTCATACTAAGTCATTTAAAAAGCCAGTTAAAATGATTGACTTCTGCTGGTTCACTCTGAGTTTCTCCAGACAGGCTTAGCTAAACCATGGAAAGAATTTTGTATTTATCAGTCTTTAAAGAAGCACCCCTTACCTCAGAAAGTTTAAGCACCTGGACCTAAATGTGCTAGTAGTGTTTTATAATAAGGGCAAAGGCAAAGGATGAGAGGAGAAAATGAAGTTTTAAAGTTTGAAGTTTCCTGAGTGTTGGAATGGGAGGCATTTTTAGAATTTCATATGCATCTTTGTTTTCTACAGAATGAAATTGGAAGTTCCTGTGAAAAAGTGTGTTTAATTTCTTTTAAACTAGAGGCCATGAATTGTTTCATTGATGAACGAAGTAGTCTTAAAGGGTCACAAATACCATTCAAGTGGGATAATTTAGGCTGCCTCCATGCTACATATTATGAAGAAAAATGATTTAGTGCTACAGAATGACCTCTGTATGTTCAAGTGGTGGTTCCTGTTCAAAGATGGTGACAGGCCTCCTGGAACATTTCCTGATTGTTGACAATTGAGTATCCTTTGGAATTCCATGAATGTTTTCTACTCCTCTTAGAGTTATTCAAAGAATCCATATGCATATCCAACAACTGAGATCATTTCAGAATTAGGGGTTTTCTCCCTTGTAACTCAACACGGAGATCCTAGAGTCACTTAATATTTAATTTGATGTCAACATTTTTGTTTGTTTATTTTTTTTCTGTTGTTAGTGATGCTCGTTTTTGCTTTGTTTTGTGGCATTAAAGATAAAATGAATGTTGAAATGTTTTATTAACTTACAATTCAGAAGATCTAGGTTATAAAAAGGAATTAACAGATTAAGTAAGATATTAAGCAATTAACCACAACTTCTATAATGAGTCTCTATTTTGATTATCTTACATGACAGAAAGTTGCAAGTATTGTCTATTTGGTTAACACTGGAACTACAAAAGCCAGGTAATATATGCCCAGTTTTAGTGAGGCTAGTCTCAAGTGTGTGGGTGGACATTTCTTTCCTCCAGAGGCAGCAGTTTTGGGATCCTGGAATATTTAAAAGAGACCTCTGTAACTGAACCCAGCAGGTTGTTTTCAAAACAGAAAAGCAAAGAGGATTGAAGTTGGGAAGGTGTGGAAGAGGAGTTGGAGAAGGGGAATGAGGGTCAATTTGATCAAAATGCATTGGATGAATGTACGAATTCTCAAACAATAAATTTAAAATGATAGTTTAAGGACAGGACAGTATCTCTCAGTTTCAGTCTAGATGCCTGATTTTCCTAGCATACACCATGACCACCACAGCTCCTTCCTTCTGAAGTAAATAATGTGGATTCTAAGTTCATAGATTTAATATAACAGATGGATGTGTAAAAATTAGTAGCAAAAGGCATGTGTATATGCATCAGAAAGTTCCACTGGGGAAGCCAGTAGTGTGACTCCCCTTAGTAGTCATATATATATGTATATATATATATATATATATACATATATATGTATATATATAATAGTAGAAAAATATTCTTATATAGTTAATAAGAAATTGTTTGTTTGGGGATAATTCATTTATGTCTTGGGGAAACTAAGATCTTGGGGAACCCAGGGGAGAAGATGCCTTGCTGATAAACAGATCACATATCCCCATTGGCATGCTTTGGTTGCTGCTTTAAATTTTCTTTGCTTAAATTGTCAGTAAACAACTTTATTTTACTAATATATTCTTTACTTTCAATATTAATGTTACTTATTAAGGTTATTTATTACTACCAATGATTTTTTTTAGAATTTCATGCATGAGTACAATATATTTCTTCATACCAATTTCCCTCTTTCTCCAACTCCTCCAAAGTCTTCCCTATATTCCCTGAAATATTAATGCTGTCTTTTATATAATTATTATTAATATATATCAATAATATGTATCATATATATTTATTACAGTTAGTGTTGGTGATATGTATGCACTCATGTAGGCCTGAATACTTGGACATGGCTAACCCATCAGGAGGCTCAACCCTAAAGAAACTGACTCTCTCCCTCTCTCAGAAGTCAAGTGCCTGTTGCTCTTCTCATTAGAGCCAGGCCTTGTGAACCCTTCTCCAATCCATGCTGGAATGTTTACTGCTGTGGTTCTATTCAGTCAACCATATTGGTAAGAGTTTATAGGCACCTCATTCACACCATATCCAGAATATGATATTTTTATCAGTTCTCTTGGACTCTTAACGTTTTCTAAGCCCATCTTAAATTTCAATTAACTAACATAAATCATAATTCTAGCCACTAGTGCACCCATCTCTTCCAAGTGTAGTGAATTTCATTACTCACATGTTTACCTGAAATTGACATCTCTATATCTAGAAATTATAATAATTCTATAAACATTAATATTAATTGATATGAAGCCAAGGTCTAGGACATTTTCTTTATAACTCATAAGTCTCTGGGACTTGTAGGCTACTATCTGTCTCTAGGACACCCTGTTTGGGACCTGGCTTCTCAGTATGATCACACTGAGGCTCCTGCCACCTGCATCACTGTCTTTTCATGCTCAGATTCCCCTTAGCATAAGAGTCAATAGGAAACTCCTAACTGATGTCTTGTTAATTTTGATACACGTGCATGTAATCAAATAAAATAAAGCTCCCAAGCTCTAACTAGTATTTGTTTTATTAAAATTTAGGTAATATTGTAAAGGAAGTAATGTACAGTAGACTTTAGTAGTGAGGACC